TAGACCCGACCGGTGGGATGGAAGCCAGTGGGTGGTTGGGTGTACGCGTGTGCGCGAGTTCGGTGAGTGTGTGGGAAGGGAGAGCTTTTCAAGGAAGCGACGCGTGTGTGCGGGGAAACGCGAGAGCTCGTGTGTGTCGGCTGGCTACGGACAAAAGCGTGGCTCGAGCTTTTTTTTAATTGTGTCCCTCTTACACCTGCTCTCCTCGTCCTCCTTCGTTCAACGCCTCCCCCTTCTGGGTAACTGGTGACACCTTCCACGTGGCCCCATTATCTCTTACTCCCCTCCTTTCCCTTCCTGAATCGGCTCTGTTTTATCGGTGTGTCGCTCGACTTAACCCTAAAGATGCTCACGAAAAGCGAGCCGGTTCTACGGATTCTTGATCGGGGAGAGAACTCGTTGTCGTTTGGAGAGGGGCTGAATCGAAGAGATAGAATTTTATTTTCCATGGGCGGCGCGCGCTATTTATGCCTCGTGCGGCTGGAAACGGGGTTTCGACGACGGTACCGCGGCACCTCGTCCACGAGGTGGGGTAGCGACCTGCGTCGCGTCGTTTTTCATCCGATTTTCATCCCCATCGTTTTATTATCACGACCACCGCTCTTCGAAACAATAACTCTTACGGTGGGAGGGCGGGGGAGAAGGTTATCTCTTTCTTCGCGAATTTTTCTGCGTTTCGAATGTTTCGAAAAAAAAAAAAAAAGAAACGGCAGTAACATTAGTTATTTTCACAGAAAATATGCGTCGACATTTCGAGTGTCTCTTGAATTCGTGTGTTCCTAATATAAATTTGTACCTGGCTTTATTTTATTATTTAATTGTTTAATTTTATAGTTTTATAATTCTATAATTTTATAATTTTACAATTTTATAATTTTATAATTTTATAACTTTATAACTTTATAATTCTACAATTTTATAATTTTATAATTTTATAGTTTTACAATTTTATAATTTCATAACTTTATAACTTTATAATTCTACAATTTTATAATTTTATAATTTTAAAACTTTATAATTTTGTAATTCTACAATTTTATAATTTCATAATTTTATAATTCTACAATTTTATAATTTTATAATTTTATAATTCTACAATTTTATAATTTTATAATTTTATAACTTTATAACTTTATAATTCTACAATTTTATAATTTTATAACTTTATAACTTTATAATTCTACAATTTTATAATTTTATAATTTTATAACTTTATAACTTTATAATTCTACAATTTTATAATTTTATAATTCTACAATTTTATAATTTTATAATTTTATAATTTTATAATTTTATAATTTTATAATTCTACAATTTTATAATTTTATAATTTTATAATTTTATA